ACTCTGCCATTGATTTACCGTCGGTTTATCGTTGCATTTAGGACGATGTTGCTCCGCGCAACATTGCCCGTCGTGATGTTAAACAACGAAGAAGAAAGCCCTCGCCTTGACGAACTCCAACTGGTGGCATTTTTCGAATCCGATAATAATTCTTCTGTTCGTACAGCGTCCTTTGTCCCCCTCGCACAGACCGTGTTTCATGTTTACCACCACCGTTGGATTCCATATGTCGAATGACATGTCACATTGCCTTGCCAGGAACTCAGTCGAGAAACATTGAATGTCAGGGTAGTTTGAAAGTTCCTGCACTGCTCGATTATTCTCTTCGGCTAATGGATGCTGTCTGATTACGAGCTTCGGCTCCGGAAGCCTCTTTGACCTGTTCGCAACGAATTACCTGTGGTCTCCCTCAACCTCACAAGGATAATCGCCGTAAGCATCTTCTCCAGCACAGAAAAATAGCAACTCTTTGATAGTCTGTGCGATTTGAAAGTTGGAATCATTTCACGCCATTTCTTCCAGTATTCCGTCAGAAGAGGTAGATTCGATGGAGCAAGTTGCCGCCGTCGTACTTTAAGATTTATGGATACATCCCGTCTTGGCTATTTTTGTCTATTTTGAAAACTGATCATTGTAAATTACTAACGCCGTTCTAAAATGCCTGAAATTTTTCTAGTTTCAATACGTTGGTTATTTACCGTTGTTGTGAGAGCGCAAGGTCAACGTTTTCTGACTTTTCAGAAGGAAGCGAAATGCGGTCCTGCCCCTTCATGGTAGACATCGCAAAGAGACAAAAATTTCTTGACGAAACGAGTTAAACAATCACCAAGAGAAATACATACAAACACATGTTAAAAAAATGCAAAATATTTATTAGCCAATGCGTATTGATAATTGTTAATAACTTTGTTTAGTATCTCTTTGATCGGGAAGAGTGCTCGTGCAGAACACATCTATCGTCTTCCGGGAGGGAGCCGTCCAGACTCAGATTTGCACATACATCAGCATCACTTATACGTGTAGAAGAGTTTTCGAACAGATGCATCATCGTCATTATCTTTGGCACCATTACCATCATCATCATTACTGTCTTCGTCCTTCGCATTATCATTTTACTGTTACTGCCTACTTCATTCTCCTCAATGTCATCGCCATTCAGCTTTGTCGTGATCATCATTTTGATCCATATCAGTCTCACGTGGTCTACCAATTCAGCCAACGTTTATGATTGTAGGTTGGTAACCACCCTTATGTTCAATAGTGTGGCGTTGTTGCCGCGATATCTATCCTTGTCTGATATTCATTTAATGCATTCTTTCAGTTGTTTCAAATTCCTGCATTCATCTTTTCGATTTTAGAAGAGACTCATGCGGGAGCTACGTTACGTCTGCCATCAAGCCGAACGAAAGCTTTCTGAATGGTTTTCGATTAACCGCGAAGCTCGCAAGGGAGATATTCCTTTGCCTCTGTTTTTCAGCACTGTTCTCGTCTTTCTTCTCCGAAACAAGGCTGACTCTTAGAAAAATACGATCGCATCGTTCGAGAGGAAATCTCAGTTGAAGACATTTTATAGGGCGCAGCATGTCTTATTGACCTGCAATACGTAGATGGTATTTCTAGTGAATACCAAGGAAGTAGGCTCTATCATCTGACGGCTTTCGTTTGAACCACAACAGATGCGAAAGTCGGCCTTTCCCTGAACGCCTGCAAGTCAAAGGTTATGAGAAATCCATCAGACTCGCCTGATTTATTACTGGATGAGAAAGGAGAAGCCATAAAGAAAATTGACTAGCTGAAGTATCATGGCTCAGTCATCTCCAACGACGGCACAAATCAATGCAAATCGATTAGGAGGATCGCCCTCGCACTGAGGTGCTTTTGATTACCTGTCAAATATATGGTCTGAGAAAGAAGTACCTGCTTCTCCAACAGTCCGCCCGTACCTTTACTTTTCAAGCCAGTGCTGCACGTGGACGTCATTCAGATATTTGGTCTAAGGAAGAGGCAAAAAAGACCGCTGAACTGGTTGCATCAGCGTTGGCTTAGACGCCTTCAACGATAGGGCCATTTTAGGAATGACTCTATTCCGTCTAGTAGATGTACAGATTAAGAAAAGGACGTTGGCCAAGTTG